TTTTGGGTGTGTGTGTGATTAGTAATAGAAGCAAGATACATTAGAGACAACTTAGGGTGTGATTGGTAACCAATTAAAAATCAAATGTAACTCAACTTTAACTAAACCCCAACGTCCTCAATATTAACAATATAATATCAATCAATCATTCTTACACATCACATCAACTTTATTTCGTTATTCATCAACTCATATAATTTTAACCAATCACTTCTAATATTATTTCTCCTACTTTTACATCAAATCAACTTTAACTATTTTATTTTAAATATTATTTTAATTTAATTTACGATTAAATTCCCACTAACAACTAACCGTACCATTTTTTCAAAATTAGCTATGGTTAAAAAAAAACCAATCAGAAACCTATCAAATCCATATCCAATCACCTTCTTAAATTTTTGATATATGATTTTACAAGCTTTGATGATAAGCTCTTCTGAATTAAGAAGAAAAGTACTTCACTTATGTTTATTCACATTCTTAAACTGCCTGCTAACAGCATTATGGGGGTAAAAAAGTAAGAAACATTAGTATCAAACCTGCTTTCGAAGGCGTTCCCTCTCGACAGCCAACTGCATCACCAAATCTGTGATCAATTTCGTCCGGACCCTTATATCTTTCGCAGTCTTCTCCTTCGCCTCATCAGCCTCATGCAGAGAAATCTCCAATTGTTCTACCTTACGCCTCAGATAATTGATTTCCTCACCAAGCTCCGAATTCGACTCAGACAACACAATACACTTCTCCTCGACAATCTCTGTCTGATTTTCGGCCTTCAAAACCTTGGATTTCAAATCTCTTATTAAATCCTCCATGTCTTTAATTGTATTCTCTAACATACTTTGTTTTTCTTGACTAGCTTCAGCAGATGCCACTGCATGCACTCGATTATGTTCGGACTCTTTCAAAAGCCTCTCTAGCTGTTCAACCCTCTCGTTTGCATCAAATACACGATTCTTCAAGCAGGCAATGTCTTTTTCAAGCTCCGAGTTAGACTCTTTAAGAGATTTACACTCGGCTTCAGTAAATTCGGCTCTTTTTACGGCTTCGGTAGCTTTCACCTCCAAATCTTCATATTTTTCTAAAGAATCCTTCAGTTTCTGCTCGAGTGAGTGAACTTTTTCCAAAAGATCGGCACTCGAACGCTCGGAGCCCTCCAAAATGCGATCTTTTTCTCTCGACTGCTCGATAAGGTCTTCAAGTTTGGATTTTAATTCCCCTTCTCTCTGGTTCGACCCGTTTAAACTAAACAATAGCTCTTTTGAGATGCCCGAGAGGATTTCTGAACTATTTTCGGCCTCGAATAATTTCTCCCACATATCTTCAGCTTCTTCCTCCATGCAGTACACTTCTTGTTGCAACCTGAATTTTAACTCTTCTTCTGTTTGCCTCGACTCGGATAGTTTCTTCTCGAGGTCCATTTCCCGGGCCAAAGACTTCTCAAGCATCCTCAAGATTTCTCTCTGCTGTTCTGCAGTCTGCATTTTTATCTTCGCGTTTATATCTGAATTGTTGTCGTTTTCCAAACCGGAAAGCTCCTTTTCATCTCTACCTGCAGACATCTCAAATCATTGTTAATTTTTCGCGCTTTTTTTTAAAAAAAAAAAAAAATTGATTATGAACTTAACCAAAAAAAATCAACCAAAACTCAAATTAACTCAACTTTAACCCAACTCCACTATCCTCAATATTACTATTATAATTAAATAGTGTCAACCAATCATTCTTGCACATCACATCAACTTTAATTCATTATTCATCAATTCACATTATATTAACTAACCATTACTTCCAATCATTTTTTTCCTACTTTTACATCAAATCAACTTTAATTATTTTATTTTAAATAATATATTAATTTAAACTTAAAATTTCCACTAACAACTAATCATACCACATATTTTTTTTTTTTAAATTAACTATGGTTAGGGAAAAAAAAAAAAAAAACACCAATCAAATCCATCTCCAATCACACCCTTAATGCACTTAAGGTTGTACCAGTAATTTGAACATCACCATAATGAAAATCTAGGAACTAAACAGTACAACAATAAGGTAACTGAGTGATTAAGTAAAACTGAAGTTTAATTGAGTTAAAACGATTAACCATAATACTTTTTTTCTAGCTTCTCAAGTCTGAAATTATATCAGATATTGGAAAAAAAAAAAGAAGAAGTAGAAGAAGAAGAAGAAGAAGACAAGGAGCTTACACTTTTCATCTCCAGATGAAGTTAGCAAGATCCTCTCGAAGCTAGCAGATTGTGTCTTTATATCCGAGACCTGCTCGAACGACAGCTTCAAAGAATCCACACAATCTTGCAGCCTTTCTTCCAATTCCCTAAGATCATATCCGAGTCCCTCGAACGAAGATATAAACTCCCGGGAGCTATTCATCTCTCTCTGAAGATCAGATAGAAAGCTCTCCTGTTCTCGCACTTCAGATTCCAAAAACCCATATAAAAGGTTGAATTCTAATGCTCTCTCAGCAAGGCCATCATTATTCCCTTCGTCCGAACAAAAAGCCTCGAAATCATTTTCCCTTGAAGCCACGTGAATAAGAAGTATGCCCAAATTGACTAATTTTTCAGTGGAGCAAGCCAAATCCAATTCAATCTTTGTTAAAAGTTCGTGTGAACTTTCCAGCTCACGAGTAGTGTCTGCTGCAGAAGATACGGCTTCAATTGAGTCAATGTTGTTAGATTCGCCTTTGATTTCAATAGAACTGACATTTTCGGTAGAAGCTGGTGAGTCTTGTGTATTGTCAGAATCCATTTTCAAGGCTTCTCGTAAGCTCGCTTGAGATGCTGAAAAAAATAAAATAAAATATAAAATATTAGTATGTGCTTGAGTCGACTGATTTCAGTTGAAGCTTCCCTTTTTTCTCCTGCCATGGAAGAATCAGAAAAAAGGTAGAAAACGATTCGTGGATCAAAAATTATTCTGCACAAAAAAATCAATTCACCAGAGTGGATATTAAGTAAAGAAAAATACAAGACTGTGAAATGCCAACTTATCCACGACTTCTCAACGCAGTGAAGAAGCAAGACGAGTGGAAAGCAACGTAGATAACGCTAATTCTTTCGGAGCAACAAAACGAATTCATGAGAGGAAATTATAATCATCAAGTAGCCTCTAAAACCACGCAAGCAACACCAAGGATTTCATTTCACCAAAAGCTGATGAACTCACTATCAACATCAACACCAAGAAAATTAAAAGGATTACATTTAACTAACTCACTATCAACAAAAGTTGATGAACTCTTTCGGCATTTAATGCATCTACATAAGTATTCCCCCAAATACTTCTAACGGGCCATCGAAAAATCTCACCTTTATTCAACTGTATCATTCAAATTTATAATTTAAACTCCTATTTTGACAACCCATCATTTTTAAAAAAAAAAAAAAAATGATTTCCTGTATTTCTTACACAAATTTCAGTACCAATTTCATCACAACATAAAATTATTCATAATAATAAAAAAAAAAAAATTAAATAATCTAAAATTCAGGTGATTTTTCGTGCGGACCCATCAGCTATGCCCATATATGAATCAAGATCACATCCAATTAAATGAACAAGAAAAAACACAA